TGTAGAAACGCGGCTTGTCTGCTTCATAGCAATACGCTCTTCCCCATAACCCAGTTCAGTTTTTTATACCTAGAACATTATAAAAGATTTTCAATGGAGTCTTACCCTAAAGCTGGTTGAGAGAGATTATTAGTATTTTCCCATTGAATCAGGCAGATCAGATGTTCTGCAACAGCATGGTTTACGCTGAAGTCTAATAAATTCTGCCTGTTTCCCAGCGTTGCCTTTTCCGTACCGCATTTTGTACATACCGAGCACGGGCTTGAGAACATTTTTTTTTTTACTTTTTAATATTAAAAAACATATTCTGTTTTGTTTCGGTTAAGACAATCTGAGCTGCAAACAACAACCATCCCTGGAGCTCTAAACTGACTAATGAGTGGATAAATCTCCAACTGTGTTTGCATGTCCCCACGTTCATTAGTGTTCTAAGAATACCCTCAACACATGCCTCAAAAAGCCTTTCACACACACACACACACACACACACACACACACACACACACACACACACACACACTGTATGTTGCTGGAAATATTTTTTGAAGAACCCAAATGAAAGCCAGGCTGCATCACAATCAGGTGGTTTGTCGCTACTAGTACACGACAAGTAACGGGACAGAACGGAGACGGGTAGCGCGTTTACGTCACGCAGAACCTGTTCAGAACTACGAAGCAAACGTTGTTTTTGAGTCCAAACAAACCAAAAAATAAAAGAAATCAGCGTTTCTCCTGTAAACTTAGCACCTGAGCTGCCGTCGTCGCTTCAGTGGGGTAATTTGCATTTCAACGGGAGGGCGAACTAACGTGATTGTCCGCCGCAGTAAGGGAGCGGAGCGTGTATTTGGGTTAGAACGGATAATCCACTCACCCCTAAAGAGGATTGGAGAATCTCACAGGCTTTGATGAGTGGTGAGCTGGTGTTTTATAGCACATCGCAAGAACACAACATGTTTGTGTTCCAGGCCAGGGGGGGAGGGGGGGAGGGAAGACCGCTACATCACTGAAAGCTTTATGGGTAATTGTTATTGTACAGGGACAAGGAGACGGCGGAGGAAGGAGCGTTTGGAAGGATGAGCACGTGTCTCCGCTCTTTATCTCGCTACGGATCCTTGGATTTGGAGAGATGATGTGATAACTGAGTAAAGGCCACAGCGGTGCTAATGAGCCCCTTCTAATCTCTGTGATCATTCCTGACAAAATAACAAGAAAATGGCAAATTAGAAAAGGTTTTTGCTGTTTATGCATAAAGAGAGGAACATGTTTTTTTTTTTTTACATCTCAGGATGTGTTGGATCCATATTTGGTTTGTCCTGCTGAGTAGCAGAGATAGTTTTTGAAAAATCTTGTTTTTTTTACCCTGTTTTTTTGATTCCAGTCACATGGCAGCAGTTTTTGGTTTTATTTCGCTTGGTTACGAAATAAATACTTTAAATATGTTTTTCCAACCAAATTAGGACTATTTTGTACCGCTGAATCCAAAAATAACATCCACATCAGGTCAGGTTTTTGTTTTATTTGATTTAGAAAAATCTGATCTGACTAAATTGGTTACATTTTTTGTGACATTATCAGTTCATTTTCTCATCCAAAGCAGGTTTTAGGGGGAAAAATTGTTTTCTAACAGAATGTATTAATTAAATATTGCAGACTTGGATTTCTGTAAATTGTATAATAAACACTGATAAGGGTAAGCAGATGTGAATTGAACATTACGTCTTCATCTCCTGGTCATCACTCATTGAAACTGGTCCAGACGTAAGAACAAGTTGTGCATTTTGATGTTCATGTTGCTCCATAGCTCAGAAAGTTGACCTGACTGAACAAAACCAACTTGATTTTTGTATTCAGCTCATCAAAATTACTCTAAAGCAGCTAAAAAAAAAACTCAGACAATTTTTTTTGGCTGTTGACCAGTATAGTTATTTTAAAATATGGACACTATTAAAAACAATAACATAGAGGCCAAATTCGGACATAATTGTTATTGCCTCTTTGCTAGAAAGCACAACAACCCGCTTAGTGTGTCTTTTCATATCCGACTCTGTTTATCCCCTTTATAGGTTCATAACACTGAAAATATAAGCTGAAGAAGTTAATAATTCATAGGGGATGGGTAAAATGTTGTTGGCTGATGTACTGGTAGAGGAATGGAGATGTAGTAGTTTTATGAATTTTCTTTTTTGTTTACTGAAAAGAAAATATGCTCCAATGTACTACTGCTGGAGTCAAAACTACTATCAAAGAACCTGCAGCACATGTTTTTACGTTTTAAAATCTGAATCGGTCAAAATTGGAAAAGTCAGACTGCAAAGAAAAAACAGAAATCTAAATCAGCCAACTAGATGAAATCGCTGTTAAAACGTTTTTATGGGGCGGTGAAAGTTTATTTATGTTGTTAGGTCAATAAAAAAAAAAGATTTGAAAAGCAGTTTATACCAGAGGTCCAGTTTATTTTTTTTTTTTTACACATGTGTCAAACTCGGGGCCCTGGGGCCAAATCTGGCCCACCACAAGTTTTTATGTGGCCGTCTGTAGTTTAGAGTTGAAGCAATGACAATTGTGTGCTTGAATATTAAGCACACAATCAAATCAAAGTTGTTTTTCATAAATTATATCAATGTGTAAAAATGTTGACTGACATGTTAATCAAACATGGAGACGGCTTTTATTTGTACAGTTTGGTTAATGGGTAGTTTTATCAATACATTGTCTGTTGATGACATTGGCGATCTTTTATACAACCCAAAATGAAAAGGAGATATTACACAAAAACAATAATATCTCAGATTTGTTTTATTACCTCCACATCTTCACATACCAACACTTTAAATTATTGAGGTAGTTTGTTAATATATTTACAAAGCTGCTTCTGATTATGCAAAATGTGACAAAAGCACAACAAATTTTAGCATTTTAGTCGCCCTGCTTGCCAAAAAAAAGTCATATTTGTACATGATTACCCAGACTAAGGAAATAATACTTTTGCAAACATTGTAAGGTTGTGTAGGAACCCTGGACATAATGGATTTTGCTATGAGACGCAACAAAAATTCAGTCAGGTATTCAATTTTAAATCTTCTCCGACAGTGACTCGGCTAAAACGTCTTCCCTCTCTTTGCCTGTCCGTTCAAATATCGATCTATTGGGCCGCATCACTTCATTAAGTGGCATGTCACTGTTGGTAGTTATCAATTTACTTAAAGAGCGATCGAGTCTCACACACAGGCACACACACATGCAGCATGTCGTGAAGTCGAGTGCGGAGTGAAAGCGATCGATAGGCACTTCAGCTTTGTGTAATGTTATATCTGACTGGACGCCCCGACTTGTGGCTACAATTGAGATATAGGACCGTGTTTTTAGGTGAAATGATTTTCCCCGTGCGACGTGGACAGAGAGCATGACCTGCTCAGACAGCTCTGTAATGGAGACAAAACGCTGCTTCTGGTGACGTGGCGCCCACTGGGTGCCCCACGGTTCCAACTCTGCTCCAACGGCTCCAAAGCTCACATTCTTCTTCCTTTTTATTTATTTATTTTTTTGCGACACTTAAGTAATCTCTTGTCATTTTGCCTCATTTTTACGTAACCTTTCATCTTTGGATGCAGGAGGGAAAAAGTGCAGCACTACTTTTTTTTAAATTAATTTTTTAAATTCTCGTCTGAGCTACCGGTGAAGCAGAGCCTGGGTCGGATCCAGCTCATTAAAACCGAGTTAATGTTTGCGCTGATGTCTCCGCAGAGACAGCCGGAGAGACAAGGCAGAGTTTTTCCTGCCCCTTGATGAAGCCTTTATGGCTTACAGATGGAGGGAAATTCTCCCAACAACACAACGCAACACAACACCCCGCCGACCTGCAGGGAAACTCTCCAGTCGCACACAAACATTCGCAGTTTCGCGTTGTTACAGTGTAAAGCCTTTTATGGACGAGCGAGCGTTGATATGAGCGCGGGAGATACAGTGTGTGTGGCGGAGTGATGTTGGCATCTGGAGCTGAAGAATTAGATTTGTTGCTCTGAGTAACAACAAACAAACCCATTTCTGTTCCACATTCAGATTCAATGTCGGCTCCTCCTCACCAGCGGCTGTTTTCTTGCGTTTGCACTCGTTTGACTGTCAGCGACGCTCTTTCTCGGTGCCACTGAGAAAGGTTCGTCTGCATGCGGTTACAAATAGGAAGCAACCGGGAGCGCAGTTCTCTCTCAGTAGCTTGTTGAAGTGACTTCCGTGGGAGGTCTCCACAGAGATGCGATCTGGATTCAATGTCAAAGTACAAAAAAAAAAGAAAGAAAGAAAGAAAGAAAGAAAGAAAGAAAGAAAGAAAAGTTGTCCCATTTTGGTGTACAGGTTGTGTGTTGTTTGAGTGATAAGGTCAGATAAGTAGTCTTTGTGAGAGGGCGCCTGGAGGAAATGCTCGCATCTCTGTTCATAATCTGACCTTTTCGATAAATGCTCGCAGAAATCAGTTCGTTTTCACTCCGACTGCCTCCACATGAGGTTCAGTGTGCGGATACGCCGCCACGCATCGTCAGGTCTCACTGCTCCATCCACATGCAGCGCCCTGTAAGAGGAGTCCTCCTCTGACTTTTTCATGTTTTGATAAGCCGCAAAATCCATTGAGTTTTAATTGGATGTCAGACAAACACGGTTTAACAAATCTGTGTGCTCCAGTTAGCGATTAACGGATCGCTAAATTCATCACGTTTAATCTGACAAACTACTACTGTAGTTAAACGTGGTAGTCGCAGCATTTTGATATTGGGACGCCCTTTAGAGGTAAATGTTCACCTTCCAGCAGCACGACGACCCTAAACATACAGCTACATGTACAATGAAATGGCTTCATCGAAGGTGTTAGAATGGCTTAGTCAAAGCCCGGGTCTAAAAAAAAACCCCAACTATAAACAAAACTTTTCACAACTTCTCCATCTGATATATAAAGTAACAGTCTTACTGTAGCCTGGAGTCAACGAGTCGTTCTCTCCTCCTGTTTGCAGGTGTAAAGGCGCCTCCCACTATGGACTCTCCGCAGACAGGAAGCGCCGCTCGCAGGAGGGCGAGTGCACAGACAGCACGTCGGAGCTCACCGTCGCCACGCTGCCCAGCGACGGCCCCGCCTCCGCCGCCGTGGCGCTGCTCTCAGACGAACCCGGCCTGGTCAACCCGGCGTTCGACCCCAGCATGGAGGACAACAGCCAGTCAGGCAGCATGACCAGCCTGGCCGCTCGCAGCAGCTCCAAGAAGAGTGAGTGGGAGAAAAGGGTGTGTGTGTGTGTGTGTGTGTGTGTGTGTGTGTGTGTGTGTGTGTGTGATTCATCTGCTTACCCAGACAGAGCGTGTTACAAATGTATTAGTCCACACTGAGATGTTGGACCTGAAAACTTCAGTGTTTTTTTGTTATTGTGGATTTTTGTGTGATTGATCAACAGCTTTGAAGTTCAAAGGAAAGAATAGATGTTTTTTTTATTTTGTTTTTTTTTTTCTTTCAAACTAAAACCTGAACAGTGTTCATGCAGCTGCAAGTTTCTATCAGCTCTGAAACATTTAGAGGCAAAAAATGTTGAATATTTAAACGACTCAAGCTAAGACATTAATTTTTAAGTTTCAAGAATGGAGGCTTGCACTTTGACTGGGCCATTTTAACACCTACATGTATTACTATCCTGATTTACCACGTACATACTTCCTTCATCCCATCAACTTTGACCATCTTCCGTGCTGAGCTAAAGCCTCCCTAGCATGATGCAACCACTTCCGTGCTCAGAATGACACGGTGCTAGTGTTTGAATTTGAATATGTATTGAAATATATAGATAAAATGAAAGAAAAATGATAAAACATACAGATTTCCACTCCTTTGTGTTGATCCATCACATAAAAAAATCCCAATGAAATACATTAAAGTTTGTGTCTGTGAGATGACAAAGTGTGTAAACGGCTCAAAGGAAGTTAATATTTCTAATATTTCTGCCTGGTACTGTACCGACTCAAAAGCAGACGGCAGTAATCTTCAATCTAACATGTATTTACTGCTGCGGTTTACCCAGCCACTCATTCGCTCCCAAATACAATTGTTCTTTCTAATGCCCTCTGATAGAAATCCTATTAACCAATTAGCTCCCCTGCTCTTTTGGGTTTTTTTTCTCTCTTCACAAATCCATAAAAAATTCCATTTGAGGAAACGAGCAGAGAAACAAAGAGAGAAAGTCACACAGAGAGAGGAAGTCACTGAAAGGGCAGGAACACTGCGCTGTAAAGGAGAACGGTAATGAGAGGCGGGTTAAAAATAGCCGGCACGAGCGTGTGATAACGTGTGGTGACGCGATCGAAGCACTCCCTCCATTTTTTTTTTTTTTTTTACCCTCCACCTGTGTTACCGGGAGGCGGTCGTGAGAGTTCCTCCCTGCTGTCCTAACGTAAGAGCCGGGGACGCCAAATGACGCTGCAGCAGCACTTTAAGCTGGGCCAGCTGAGCACCCCACCACCATCGCCGCCATCTCCACGAGCGCTGCAACTGCTGAACAAGCTGTCAGCTCCAGCAGCCGCTGGCGCTTTTTAAAGAATAATGCGGCTGTCAGAAGCCCTCGCGTCTCTCTGGGGCCGCAGAGGGAGGGAGCGGCGCTGCGGAGCCTCCACTCCTGGAGCAGCTGGAGCTGGGCCAGCGGCTCTGTCTACCTCCACTCTCCAAATCAAAGTCTTTCTGCGATGCTCCGAGTTGGACATAGTTGCTCCAGTCCATATTGTATTACATCACAGTTGCTGTTGTGTAACTGTGTAGCTATGCCTGGTACTCAGACAGGCTTTATTAATTTAAGACCCACAAAAGTCAAACAAGCTCCTCCACTTGGCAAAAAAAGAGCAGCGTTTGTTGAAACTGCAAAAGCTTCACAGCATATGTAGCTGGATGAAAATTAAAGGGGCGGTATTATGTAAAATTAGCCTTTTTTGGAGCTTTACATTATGATATAATGTTATTTCCTCATCAAAAATATACCTGGAGCGTTGCTGCAGTTCTTTCATGCATGTTTGAGAAATCCTTGAATCACCCGTGGCAACCAATCGCAGGCGCCTAAGCGCTTCATCTCACAAAGCTCCTCCTATTTCCAGAAAGCTCCACCCATTCATACAAAGCTCCGCCTACTGCTGAACTATTTCTCAGTCCATCGCTCTGAAGAACATTTGTAAACGGCTTAAAGGAGAAAGGTTGTTGTGATGACTTGCTGAAGCAGAGACAGAGTGGGAGTTTCTTAAAGAGACAGAGGCCCAAAATTGCTAAATTTTTTAAGGCATGTTTGAGTTATACATGCTCAAACATGCATAGCAACTGAAGTTCATAATTACTGTATTGTGCTATAACATGGTTCTACGTGCATGGAAAACACGTAATACTACCCCTTTAAAAAGCAAATATCTTCCACAGCTGCATTTGTTGATTAGTCATCTTAAATTCACTGTGTGGAAAAATCACAATACCCAAAATGATTCCTGTGGCGTCCAATATTAGGTAAGCTTTTCTGTTTCCAGTGGCATGCATTCACACTCTGCATGCCAATAACGTACTTGGAGAGTTGGATGGACTTTTGCCTGTTTGATGACACCGACGGACGGATATGGATGGATTAATAAAAACTCTGAAGGTAACAGATGGTTGGGGAGAGGAGGGAGGCTGTTTTGATGCTGGGGGGAAAAAAAGAAAAAAAAAAAAGAATATCACATGAAACTGTTGATTAATCATTTCAAATACCCTGCAGCCACAGTAGCACCATTCATTTTAATATCCCAGGCCAGTTTTAACTTTAGTCGGGCGTTTGTTGTTCACCAAAACAAACTGGAAATACCAACAGTCCTCGGGTCTTGTGCGGGATCCAACTGCTGATATTAGCAGCAGGAGTGGGGCAGGAGTGGGGCGTGTTTTTCCTGCCACTCAGAGCTTAGAAAGAACAGCTGGTGCTGCGAACACCAGGATTCAACTCTGTCGACAGGCCTGTCAAACCGGGTTCAGGGTCTCAAACTTGGTTTGCTTTGGGAAAAGCACAAGAATGAAAAAAAAAAAATCTATTATGACATGTCCTTCTGTTTTTTTTTTTTTTTCTTTTTCATGGTGCCGGTTTGTCCTGGAAATCATCTATGGCCACACATACAAGAGTTTCTCAATATGTTAGGATGCCATTGAAAATGTCATTTATTACAGAAATTGGGTTAAAACATTTCAATATATAGAGTTTGGTTTGACACAGAGACGTTTTTTAAGCATTTTTTGATTAAAAAAAAAGTGTTAAAAATCTGTTTTTTAGAAAGTTAGGGTCTTACATAAATTAAATCCTAATCATAATTTTATGACTTGCCAGTTGCTGCATTGTGCCAAATAAACTACATTTTGGCTCTTTGTTAGCTGTAAGCCATAATCATCAAAAATAGAAACAGAAATCAGCACTTGAAATTAAATAAATTAACATTTGAATCATTTTATAATTCATTGAAATGCACCTGCAGACCAGCCTGTACAGTTGGAAGCGCTTGTGTTCAACAGGAAGTCTGTAAGATTAAAAGGAAATAGTACCAAACTTGCTCTTTTCTCTCATTTACACAGCTAACCAAACACAAACTCAAGCATTTATGTCCCTTTCTAGAAAGTTTTGAAAGGATCAGTTCTGCAAATCTCATTTTAGAAAATACAGAGATGGATGAGGCTCACAGCCTTACTTTCCTGTAGACAAAATCAATACGACCCTTTTCTCTCGGGGCATCAATAGAGCAGTGAAACTATGTATTTATGGAGGTTTTTTCTCTGTGAAGTCCTACAGTCACTGCTCTAAAAGTCATGCATACTTTCCTGACCTGCTTCAGACCGGTATTTCAGCTCCTCTGCAGAACTTGTCAGAACATGTTCAGACAGGAGAACTCTGATTGGAGCCACAGTCAGACGTGTCCAGGCATGTTTGCAAGTCCTTTATAAAGACCCTGTCTACTCTTCCCCCCTCTTTTCTTCTTTTTTGCAGTCAGAAACTTTGACCGCTCCTCAGTGAGGAGCCGCTCCTTCAGGAGACTGAACCGGGCGTTCAGCGTTCTGCGGAGGACCAAGAGCGGCACTGCGGTCAGCAACGAGACCTCCGAGGAGCGGGACAATGCCAGGAATTCCAGCGTGCCGCCGGAAGGTATGGAGCAGAAACTTTTTTTATTTTTTTTTATTTTTAAATCATGATTCCTAAAAAAAAAAAAAAAAGGGGCCACTGGAGAGAGTTCCAGAGGGAGCAGGAAGTGCATGTGGCTCCAAATGTTTATATTTGCCATGTTCAATCAGCTGTGTGAGGAATGGTGACATGGCTTTGGGGCTTGGGTGCAACAGCAGAAGCATATGTTTCTTGAATAATTCAGCCACACGTTGCATAAAGGCCTCTGGTGCATCACCACAGAGGGATCAGAGCAGAGAGTGGCAGCCTGAGGCATTTTGCATAGTGATGGTATAGCCGAGGTCACTGGAGATGACGGGCCTCTCCACCTTCTGCTGTTCTTTTCCATCATCCGCCTCTTCGCCAGCATCCTCGCCAGCTGCGTTTCCGTCACAAACGTAGGCAGCAAAACTTTGCCGGTACTCCGCCAATGTCGCAGGGAACACCATGTGGCAATCGTGGCGTTTCCGTTAAATAAGAAACGCAATTAAAATCACACGTGAATAAGTTTGTTCACTCGACGAGTCGTCAGAAAACATAGTCCTATGTCTTTTCCGTCAGTATTTTTTTTTCTTTTTGTTAATTGGCGATAAGAATAGAATATAGACTACACTGAAAATAAAATATACATTATAAATGATACATCGCCACCAAAATATGGGAGAAATAAGGGGAAATAATTGCAAGCTTAAAGGCAATGTTCTGAAGGTTCGATAAAGAGTAAAAGATAAAAAAGAAGTTTTGTTTTCTCTAGTAACAACAAAATATCAAAAAGTCTAACTTAGAAAACTTACAGTTTCAAATGTATTCAATTTAGACCTCAGCTTTTGAATAAAGTAAAGGAATGCAAAAGTGGTCATACGGATAAATAAATATTTTTAGATGATTATCGATTTAAAGTATAAAAAGGCAAATTCAGAAAAAAATAAAATAAAAAGAGGCGCGATAATAAAGAAAAGTAGTGCAAGAGGTTATTTCATATAGCAACATCTGGTTATTGATCACATGACTTGTGTGATGCAATAAAAGTATTTCTAACGCAATTTTGCAAAACATAATAATTTTGATAGAGTCGAATAACCACCTTATTATATTAGTGCAGAAACTTTGAAACGCTCGAAAAACGTGTTTTGTTTTGTTTTTTTAAGAATCATCCTGTTTCTATTAACCAAATTTATTTTCGTAATTCTAATCTGCGCAATTTTAAAGTCAATGGAAACGCAGCTGGTGACCCTGCATCCCGTCATCCACCCCTCCACACCTTCTGACTGGAATCATCCTTGTAAAAGTAGCGAAGCGGGGCAGGCCACGCTCATGACACGCACATCTATAACCCTTCACACTGAAAAGAAAACAATATACAACGCAATATCCACAGCTCAGGCGTTTTCATGACAAAGTGGAAGAAATGCAGTCAACCGTAATGGAGCGTTATGTAGAGTTAGAGGTGCGGCGCGGCGGGACCTGGAGAAGTAATATGGCATCACGCAAGAATGATGAATGACAAACGACTCGGGAGTAGATGATTCTCAAAGGCCATCGCCGAGGACGCTGAGGATGGATTAAATATTCATTGAATGCTCCAGGAGAGAGATGCAGAAACGCAAGAGTGAAGTAGAGAAAGATTCGGTAAAAGATGGATCCAGATTTTGTTTAAAAAAAAAAAGGATATAAAAGTGTAAATAATTGCACTAAAATGTCCCCGTGCAAGCTGTAGAAATAATGAGATGGAGTGAGAAACTCAAACAGTGTGCGCTGGTGAGAAAGAAAGAGGTTACATAAGAGCTCCAGGGTCCCAGTGAGAGTGCTCTGCACCCCTGGAGCAATCTGCTGTGATAAAGACAAAATATTGACTCTGGAAAGGAGAAAGTGCAGCGCTGAGTGGAACGAACCGCCAAGGCTACTCCACTGGAGACGGAGACGGTCCACTGAGGGATACGAGGAGAGAGACATTTTTCAAATAAGATGAGGAATATGTCTCTGTTAGTGATTGGGCGAAGCCTCTGGCCAGAAGAGCGACCACAAAGACTCAAGGTTAGGATGCAGGGGAAAAGAAAGAGCCAGAGGGAGGAGGCAAGTACATCTTCCAGATACATGCTGACTTTCCATCAATGTGTGTTGGAGTTGGTCATTACCATGGTTACAGCAGAAGATTATCTTTTTAGAAATTATTGGATGTTTTCACATTTTGCCATGTTACAACCACAAACTTGAATGTATTTGATAGGGATTGTAGGTTATAAATCTATGGAGTTAAATTGGGGCCATGAAGTTTGTTCTAAAGTAAAAAAAAAAAATTGAAACTGCAAAAAAAAAAA